CTTCTTTTCATAAACTCTCAAAGCTTTTCCCCCATTTCTTTTTCTCACAGTATTTATATCTGTAACAAAAATACAAGGATGAAAAAGAGATTCTTGGAGTAGCAACAAACATTACTGGACTGGTTCAAATTATCAAGGGTGTGGAACAGTGAGTTAGAAACAGAATCATGGTCATCAATCTTCTAGAGGGAGAAGACACTTGAGCTGAAGGATGATATGATCAAATCTAGCATCCAGAAAGATTTACTAATTTTAGACTCAGAATGTAATTAACCATTTGCTCATATTATACTTTTACGTTCATGATTTCAGCCGCACTTTCATTTCATACAAAAAATAGATATTTCTCCTGATTTTTATACAATTTATATATATTAACCACTTGTTAAGAACTTAACTTTCACTTTACTACTTTTGTGATATTATGGCAGAACCACGGTTTTATTTTTCCATCTTCAAGTAAAGTAATGACATTCCAAGGAAAGTGGATTAATCTAGTTTTGCAAATTTCTACATCTCAGATCTGCTTTTGATTTCTACATCTCAGATCTGCATTCCAAGGAATTTGTTATGGGTGAAGCATTGGTTTGATAAGTGACTTTTGTTTCTAAAGTTGACAAAGTAGTCAAACTGAATTACAGATGCATTATGAATAAAAAGAATGTGTATGAAATTGAGTTTTAATTACAAAAGGAATATATATACAGTGCTAGCAGTATTCAATTTTGAGGGTGTTGTTAATGATTCAGCCCCAACTGATGTACATTTACTGACATTAATTTTTATACTGATTCATTTTATATTTATTTACACAGATCGCATAACTTGCTTTCCCATCTTGAGAATTCTACATCTTTTGTCAATTTTACATTTTATTTGTCTAAGAAGCAAGTATTTAGTTATTTTTTAAATTTTTATTTGACCAAATCAAGAAAACATTGAAATAAATAAAACACCATAAAAAATAACTCTTCCCCCCACCCGAAAAAAAACTACATACACAAAAATAAAATCTATCTCCTACCCCAATAAGTCATCGTTGCAGGTTTACATAAATCAATTTGTAATCTTAAGTAAATAAAATTTTAAACAGTATATGCCAAGCCACATTCATAAATCTATGAAATCCAAGAGGATATACTGTATTTGTTAATACAGTAAAAATGGAACAGAGTCTGACTATAGTCAACATGTTTTTCTTTTATTTTCTTCTTTTTCCTAGTATGCTAACATTTTAGTCAGTGCAATTTTCCACACTTTTAAACAGTACTTGCCAAAGAAACATGCACTTAGTTGTTGAGTATTTCACAGGAATAAATGTGAACAGAACATAAATGGAATGAATGTCTTGTCTTGTACCACTTTGTATAGTACAGACAATAGAATTGTTATACTAGAATTAATTAGACTGAGATTGATGTTATTACAGGCTACTATGTAATTTTTGAATCCCTTCAAAAAGTTTCAAACTAAAGAAGTAACTAAATAGGCCCGACTCACTACTTTTTGGATTATCTCAGAGTGCTGCTTAAAGGGTGGAGTCTCAGAAAATATCATTGTATAGTGTTGCTTTAACTGTGTTTATTTCCTTCTGGCAAAAGGAGCAGGTGCTTTCCCAGGTTTAACAAGGGAATAAAACACAGGAAGTTATTTTTTATTACTAGTGGAACATTGTACAGAGTATATAATATAATATTTCCTTTTATTACAGGCTTTCTTTTTAGCACGCTGCAATACAACAAAGAGATAGTCTTACATTCAGCTATACTTATATAGCATGCTAAATATTAAACAAAATAATTTTCTCACAGATATAGAAGATAGACAATTCAATGTATCATAGGAATTCAAATAGTGAAGAGTGTAAGGGATACTTTTTTCGTTTAACAGTCTCACATTCAGAAGTGACCTAGTCCACTAATTTTATAACAAAGCCAGATACAATCTTGCCAATAACCAATTTTCACTGAGGAAAGTGGACAAGCTTCTTGATGTCTAGACTAAATCATGAACATTCCTTGGAAAATTAACAGGAACTTTTGGTCTGGATTTACAATATGTTCAATTATGTAGAAGTAATCTGAGATTTTTTTAGCGTATGTTTGAATCCAGAGAACTCAAAAGTTTTGTATTATTACAAGCCAGGGAAATTCTTTGTTTTAAGGAAGAATATGTGGGACAATAAGTGAGTTTAGAACTAAAAGGGAAATATATCAGTCTGGAGTAGAAAATGTAAGTATGTGTATGAAAAGGCATCTATTCCCATTAAAATAAGAAAAATCTGTTTAGTATTGCTGCAAATCAATTTTGCCTCACTCCTTTTAAAATGGATATTCTATTTCGTACTCATTCTCCAAATATTTTCTGTTAATCAATATCATCTAGACATTTATAGATTCATAGGTGTTGAAGAGCTGTGTTTGCTAATTCTATTTGCCTCTCTTTTTATATTAAAATAGCAAAATCTGAAGTGGGCTTTTACAAAGATGGACTGATAAGATTGTCCATTAATTAATTATTATATATAAATGTGCAGTTGCAGCTTTAAAGGTAGAAGACATATTACAGGCCTTGCATATTCAACATTGGCTGTCATGTGCTTAGTTGCCATTAGAGATCAATAAATATGAAGTTTTTCATATTACAGATAAACAAGCTTCCAAACCACACAGGACTTTAAAGATTATAACCAGCACTATGAATTACACATAGAAATAAACTGGCAACCAATGTAACTCCTGAAATATTAGTACTACATGACAATATTGGCTTGATCTTTTGAACATCCAGGCTATTGTACATTAGTTATTTTCAATATCCAAGGAAAGAAATGCCTGTCTTTTCCATTTCATTGCCATCTGATTTTCTAACATAGCAAGACTTTGCCTGTTATCCTTTTAGCCAGCCCACCCAAATTTCATGCAACTTCAGCCTGGTCAACTTCACTTTGTCTTCTCTATTTCCATTTTGCACTTTCTGACTTGGCTCAAACACTATTATTCTCCCTTGCCCTTTAGACCTCAAAAATTAGTTAATAATCTTCAGTCCCCCAACTGGTTCTTTCTTACTACGTCTCTGAAACATGGGAGTAATCACTCTCCCACTATCCCAAGAATCTACAGTTACTCCATAACAATTGGGGAAAAAGTATATCAGTTAAAATTTGTGTTGCAAGGTTGTCATAAATTATTTACATTCATCAGGCAGCAGGATTAAAACAATACTGGAACCATTTCCTCAAATAATACAAGGAAATTGTTGGCCTGCGCCATACTAAAGTGTTATACCATAAGACTCTATACCAGCAAGCAGCAGAATTATGTATTGAAACAAAGAAGTATCTTTAAAAACATGGCAAAATGCCACATATTATAAAGAAAAACTACTCATGCACCAAGATGATATCTAAATATATTGCTAAAAAGTCAGATCTTTGCCAAATCCTTTTTTTTTCTCATAAAGTAGTAACATCCTTTTAAACCTCAACAGACCATTTAACCTTCTCATGAATGAAATCAGACTCACCCTTCCCTTTTCTACCTCTGCCATTAATTTTCTATTGTCTCTGTTAAATAATTCCTATTTTTCTTCCTATCTACTCCTCTCAAAAACCATGTTAAATAATAAGCCAAAATTAACAATCCCAATTTAATAATTTCATATGTCATGCTAAAACAAATGTATCTTATTATGTGGCGCACCGATTCTCATAGTATGTTAAGACTTCATGTGGTTTACCACATTGTGCTTATTATATTTATAACTTTCTTCCTTTCATGAAACTTGTAGACATCAAACTCTTGGAAAATATATTTCGATATTGTGATCAGTTCAGACAATGTTTTTACCTTTTATACCCCAGATTCAAATTGTGAACTTAAAAGCAAGATAGAAAGAGTATTGATGCATTCAACTTCTGGCGCTAAAACAGACTTTTAAGAATACGGAAAGCAGCCAGGAAAAACCAATAAATGGTTCATAGAACAAATAAATTAAGGATTTTCATTTAAACCATGAATGATCAGGCTCATGCTACGATATTTTGGGCACATTATGCAAAGACCCGGCTGCCTTGAGAAATCCATAATGCGGGGGAACGATGAAGGAAAGAGAAAAAAGCAGCAAACGACCAGCAGCAAAGTGCTTGGATTCAGCTCGGGGAGGAGTGAATGCTCCAGCGGGAAAACCACAACACCGAGTCGGAGACTAATAACCCGAGAGATTTGTCTATTTTAGGACCTCCCTGAAGGTCGAAGCCGACTTGATGCCACTTCATCAATCCCGAAGAAAACCTTCCTGGCTGCACTTCATTCCTCCTTGAGTAGATGGCGCCCTCTCGAAAGAGTTGCTTTCCGCGCGACGCATGCGCCCCATGCGCAAGGGCCTCTTTTTTTTTTCTCCTTTCAGCTGGCTAAAACCCGGAAGCGTCCTTCAGTTGGCTTGCCGCTATCCTCTCAGTTTCTCCGCCTGTCCTCCCGCAGCTCTTCTAGCAACCCCCTGCCCCCCGCCTCACGTTCCCCCGCGCCTCTCCTCGACCGCCTGAGCTCTTCCCGACCCCTATAACATTTAAAAGAGAAAGAGAGAGGCAAGCCCCCATTAAATTCGAACGTGCCTTTTGATTGGCTGGCAGAAAAGTTTCTGCCGCTGTTTTTCAAGGAGAGGAAGCGACGGGAGCGAGAGGCCAGCCGGCCGGCTTGCTAAGGAGAAACTGACCGGCGTTAGAGACCCCGTCCCTTTGGCGCGCGAGCCTATAGAACAGAAGCGATTCCCGACGTTCTGAGCGCGTGGCAGGACGGAGGAGCGCGCGCGGGTAGGGGAGCGCGCGCGCAGAGATAATCGTGCAGAACTCCGCCGGCTAGCAAGCAAGCAAGCGAGAAGGGCGTGGGGTGGGGGGCGACGACGGGGAGGGAGACAACCCAGTTACCCAGAAGAACCGTGCAGAAACGAACGTGGAAATGCAGCCCAAGTCCCGGCGCGAGCAATAGCAAACGCTAAAGCTTTCCTAATCTGACCTGCCCCCCAACCTTTCTAAAGCCACCACCACCCGCAGCCCCTGGTTTTCGGTTATGCTTTCTCCCCTTATTCTCCGAGCCTCCGTTATCTTTCTGCCCTTTCGGTGCCATTAAACGGGCCTTCCCCCTCGACAGCATCCCTTTCCGGGTTTTCTTGTTAGAGCACGTGGGCGTGTACACACACACACACCTCTTTGCAAGTACACCTCATCCGATTGCTTAGGTGCCCTCCCATTTCTCTGCACCCAGCAGAGAATTCCTATAGGCCCTCCCCTCTTTTAAGTCTGTGGAGTATCCTCAGAAAGCACCTGCCCCAACTGTGAACTGGCAGCTGGTACCGGTACCTGTGCAGGTATGAGTACCAAGAAAGTAGCTCTCATCACTGGCATTACTGGCCAGGTAAGTACAAGTTGAACTTAGTTTCCTCTAATGTTGCTACAGGAAAATATTGCATAAACATACTTTATTCAAGACAGATGGGAGGGGAGGAATTGGGTATTTGGAAATCACAGGAGAAAGGAGAGCCATAGATATTTATTTATTTATCCATTACCCATCCATTTATCCAACACATTTTTACACCCCCAATGTCACCTAAGTGACTCTGGGCAGCTTGCAGTAAAATATTAAACGCTGAATTTACTTCCTGGTGTTTCCTGCATGCATTCCTAAGGACAATTGGGACAATGAATACACTTTTTCCATAGGTATGTTATAAGAATGTTTGATGCTATGTATTGTAGTTCAATATTTGCATTGTTTTGTAAATTTTCAGTGTGCTTTTTTTTCTCACAATTGTAATACTTTTAACTGATGATTAAAAGGGGGGGGGGCATTACTAAATACAAAAGTCATTTTTTTAACTTACAGGTTGTCATTGTCCCATTTCATAAAGCCTTATTTTTTTTAATGGTACATATTTGCAAAATGGTAATTTTTGTATTCTCATAAACATGGTAAAAATTCCTATATAGAGGAATCACTTCCATACAAACATGTAATATGAGTTGGCCCTAAGATCTGGAAAAAAACCCACCCTCCTTGGTAGTGTGTTTAATAATTACGAAAACAGTTACTAGGATTTTACAGAAGTCACATCTTGAAATGTTTTTGATGGGTATTTAAAATTGGAATATGTGTGTCAAAGGACATCTTGCCTGCAAAATGGCTAGCACCTGGGCTGCTGGTGCCCTGTCCCTGTAAGACCTCTCTAGCCATCCCATCAGCATATGGCTATAAAAGTTGAGGAGAGGCAGCCGAGTATAGCGGTGTTAGTATGGAAATGAGAGGAAAAATGTTTTCTGTTTTTATGGAATTAAAGGAGCCGGAAGCAGCCTAAGGCAAATAGAAGAGTTACTATTCTCCATCTGTAAGGATGACCTGGGTGTGTGTGTGTATAAATAACCTGTGACAAATACACTTTATTTTTATTAGTTCAAAGGGCCATGATAACTCTGCCAATAAAGTGTTGAGTAATAGGTGGTGGCCTTTATTTCTATGCACAGTTTATTCACTTCCTTGTCATTTACAAGCTGATCCAAAATGACTCAGGAAGTAGTTAATACATTTCAATTTTGACAATCTTATTTCAACACCTGGGTTTAAGTTGAGATGAAGAACCACTCTTTTTAACCACAAAGAATGACAATATTTTTTCACAGACAATTGCCAGCCGGCCCTGTTCTCTTTTTCTAACATTTATTTATTTAATCAGTCAAAATTATATGTTGCCTGTATCACAACTTTAGGCAGTTTCCAGAGTAGAATACTTAGTGGCCAAACAACAACAACAAAAAACCCCACAATAATAATGTCAAATAATAATAGAATTACCAAACACCTAAAGCAGAGCAAATAGTGTAAGCGTCTACAAAGCAGTATTCAGTGCACATCTTTATTGAAGTGACATAGAATTAGTAAAGGTGACACTGACCGGTTCTGTACAGTGGAGACAAAGCGCCTGCTTTGAGGTAGAGTTGGATTTCAACAATTATTGCAACAATGGACTTTCAGTGCTCCCACTATGCTAGACCTGCAATAATAGACTTTTTGGCCTCAGATATGTCAAAAATTCAGAAAATGGCTAAGTTAACTCTACTGGCATGCTACTGCACACATCCCCTCCCAGAATAAAAGAGAAACAATTCTTTATATACTCATTTATTTAAAAATACAGTCCAGTGGTATATATCCCCAAACCCCAAAAACTTTAACTTTAGTCTGTCTACTATTGACTTCACCCCTTTCCCAAAGAGGTCTGTAAGGGGCATGCATAAGCGCACCAACGTGCCTACTGTCCTTGTCCTATTGGGTTTTTTTTCTTATATGTATCCATTTCATGTATTCATAACTATGTTTATACTTATACCTGTTATCTTATAATTGCTTGACAAAATAAATATGTGATTTCCAGGATCTGTTGCATGCTGTTTATCTTCAGGGAGTGCATTCTTTCTGTTGACAAGCCCTTGTAGCCTATTTGAGGCAGCTCCAGATCACACAAGCCTTCATTCTTGAAGTGACTTTGGAAAACTTTGACTGCCTTGTGTAGGTTGTGCTTTCTAGAATATTTATTTTCAGGTGATGGTAAATGCTAATGTGTCACCCAGAATGTTGTGATGTCTCATCTTTGACACATGTCATAAGTTTGTTATAACTCTAATGAATTCTGCACTTCCACACTGGGAGTGCAGAGCTATCTCCATATTCACAGATGAACTTGCATAACAGCAGGTCTTCTTCAAACTGAGAAATAAATTGTACTTGCATTTCATGGGGCTGTTTTTTAAAAAAAATGTTTTATCAAGGCTATGGAACTGCTGTAGTTACAACCAACAAATTCCATAGATTTCATTATTATTACCTTTATTGTCAGAGTACAACATGTGTACAATGAGATTGGCTGAACCTCCCTTCGTGCACCCCTCCCCAACACAACTCACAGTGACGACAGAAGTCCCTAACCCAGACCCTGAGTTTCACTGGGTTTTTTGTATGTGTCAGGCAGTGGTGGTATTCAAATAAAGTTGCCACTGGTTCGGTGGGCGTGGCTTGGTGGCCACGCTTTGCACGCATGCACACACTTTGCATGCACACGCGCACCAAGCATGCACTTTGCGCAGGTGCAGTGGTGTTCTAACTTGCCTCCTGCAAGCCTGCATGATGGTGGTCGCTGCAGCAGCTGCCGCGTGGCAATATTCTGCGCTGCGCAAAGCATCCGAACTTTGAATTCTGGCCATAAAAGTGAGTATGGGAGCCTGGGCAGATGGGTGGGCACAGAGCAGCGAGGAGAACCGGTTTGGTCTCCACTGTTCATCGCCGCTACCGGCTCTCCAGAACTGGGCAGAACCTGTTGAATACCACCACTGGTGTCAGGGTAAAAATTGATTCGTGCCATCTGTGCATGGCAAAATAATAGATTTCAATTAATTCTGTTTTCTTGTACTAATTTAATAATAACGCTACGAAACTAAACCAAATTATCCATGTTTTCTTTTGTAATATAGGGGCAAATTTGGAAAAAGTAGAGTTTTATCAATATTAAATGTGCCTAATATATGCCTTGACACCCCTGATCTAGATTATATTTTATTAATATAGTAAATGTGTAGACTGAGAAGTTGAACGGTTTTTGTTATTGCCAAAGTTTATAAATTTTTGTTGGAATTGAATTTGGAGAATGAACATGTGAGCCATTGCATGATCCAATGGGCAAAGTATTTAGGGTATGATATAATGCTTCAATCATGGGAAAACATATTGGATGCATGGTTTAAAATTTACATTAAATTAAATTTTAAATATTTTTAAATAAAATGTGCCATTGGTATTTAACACCTAATGAACTGTCAAAGATGTACAAAGAAATATATAAAGGAAAATACCACTCACACATCATCACAAAATCTCCAGAACCATAAAGCAGCAATCAGCTTTAGTACAGAACAGTTGAGGTAAGCCATGTCCAGGCTCCTTGCTGTCTCGCTCACACAGCAAATACTGTTTCAGTTTCCAAACATCCCTCAACTCTCTTCCACACTGACAGGACACTAGCCAGATGAATACTGATGGATGCTGGTAGGCAGAGGCAGAATTCACTCTCCTTTCTGGCAGAAGCAGAATTCACCCCCCTCCCCAAAACCTAAGCCTGATCACATCGTTTTGTAGCGAAGCACGGTTATAGAGCTAGTCTTAAATATATGTTAGAAATAAATACTGGGTAAGATTCATATTTAAATACAAAAGTTTGTTAAAATGAATATAAAAATCAGAGGCTTTTCTTTTAGGCTTAAAGGTCAAAGAACTTGAAGGAAATCTATATCTTTGTTATAGACAGCAGCAAGAATGCTTTATGGACAAAAATGGAAAGATATTTTAATTCCCAGAATGGATGAATAGTTGGAAAAATAGATGGAACTAGCAAAGATGGCTACATTGACTGTTCAGTCAAAGAAAAGAATCCATCTCACTTTCTTTCTACTTGGAAACCACTTTTGGATGCTGTATTTGAGACTTTTACTTTGGGTTTTGCTGATTAGATAAGTTGGTTGTTATAGAAATGGCTAGTATGGACTAGTATGTAAAAGTAAAAAGTTGAGGCGGTAATATTACTACTTATTCTACTGTGTCGAAGTCGGTGTTTCTCTTTTTTCCCTTCTTTCCCCTACATTGCTTTGTTTTCACTTTTTTCCTCCCCCGTTTTCCCATTTTTTTAACTTTCCTTTTTAATTTTACTGTATGTCTTGATAAACTTAGTAAATTATTAAAAAGGCAATTAAGTGATTCTACATATGAAAACAAATTGAACTTGAAGGCATAACAAAATTAGCCACTATTTTCTAATTTAAATTACCAGTATTTAAAACAAAAAAAATCACTCTTCCTCTTTCTTGCTGAGATTTCGAATAAGGATATGGTCAACTGAGATATCTATTTGGAGGCAGAAGATTAGCTTACGCTGTTTGAGCCCCTGCTCAAGAGTGTGGATTGATGGACAGTAACCTTTTTACCAAAGAACACAATCACTGATATATTTTTTTTCTTTGTTATAATACTTTTATCAGTTTGAAGTCCCGAATTAGAGCCAGGATAATTCTACAGTTGTCATTCATTTAAAAATCTGTATAAATTGAAATAAGTTAAAACCTGCCAACAATTCCTTAAAAACATCCATGTCCGCTAATATCAATATTATACGTTTCACATTAAATTTTCTTTTTCTGTTCCAAACTAATATCAAATGGAAACTCAAGGAGTTTATTAATCCCAAGTAAAAGACCTTTCCTGTGCATATCTGAAGCCACAAGAACATTCTTATCCTCAATTTCTCTCTTAATTATCTTTGAAAAAAATAGAACACAGAAGAGGTGAGATGGAAGTATAAGTTTGTAGAAGTATAT